TTAAATATTAATATATATTTAGGGAACGGCTAAAGTCCCATTCACAGAATAATTCCGTCACGTTTGCTATCGTAGATTATTCACACAACATAACTTATCTATATATATAAAAAGAATTACTATTTTTTAAAAATGGCAAGTCAAATTGTGGTCAAATATAGTTGAGCATTAATTACATGGTATTAATAGCAAGTTTTTATTTTATTTTTTTATTTACAAACATGCTTCATTAATTATTGCATTTAAATGTGGAGTTTGTTAGGTGGAGTTTGTTATTTATTTTTGTGTAAGATTAGATAGTTCCTTTTTCATTTTCACAAATTAAAAAATCTTTTGTACTCAAATTACTTAAAATAATAACAATAATAATATTACAATAACTAAAAAATAATAATAATTTTGAAATCTTCTGTACTCAAATTATTTAAAAGAATAATAATAATAATTTTGAAATCTTTTGTACTCAAATTACTCAAAATAATAATAATAATAAATTTGAAATCTTCTATACTCAAATTTTCAGGTACGATAGTATTGTCATAATTTTCAACATCATATCAATATTTATGTTATATACTAGGTAAATTTTCTTTCAAACTTTATAAGGTATTTATTTAGGCTTATAATATTTTAGATACTTTTATATAATATTTTATCATATCGTATTCAAAAAACATCTTTCATACAATGTAAACTTTTTAATGTTTTTAGATATAATTTCTTTACAAAAAAAATTAAAAAATTTTAGGCGACTTTACATCTTTTAATAATCTATATATATATGTAAAGATTTACCATTTTTCAAAAATAGTAGGTCAAATTTTGGTCAAAATCATTTTGCATTAATTACATTCTATTTTTAGTAACTTTTTTTTATTTAATAATAAAAGTAGCATTAAATGCTACCCATTAATTAAGGATTTTGTTATTTTGGTTTTCAACAAAACCATGAATGTTGCCTATTATTTGGGGTTGATGTTGTTTTATTTTTAAAAATAATGTTTAATAAAAGAAATAACTATATATTATCCTAAATTGCTGGATAACTAAATTGTCTTGCTTTGCGTCTTTACTTGCTTAATAAATTAATTAGTGCTGATTTAATACTCAACTGGTCAAACCTTTTTTTTTTCAAATTAAAAATAAATATGTATAACCGATAAAAAAATAATTAAATATGTATAGATAATATATTAATTACTTTACAAGCTAGTTCAATATACAAGTGAAAAGTATATGATAACCCTATTGATTTTTAGACTTAAACGAACAGAGTCGTCTGAAAATAATTAATTTAATATCTATGTCCCGTGCATTGCACGGGGTACGTACTAGTAATATAGAAAAGTTTAGATAATTTATATATGTTAATATAATATTTTAGGAGTTTTAAATTGTTTAAACATACTGTAGATTTGGTTGTAAGATAAAAGAAAATGAAAACAATCGAGAGTGTTCTGTTGGAAAAATCAAATCGCCATTGATAATTGAGCTTCAAGCTCTTGAGGTTACAGAAAAGAGTTCACTGCCCTTAAACGTACTTAACATGCAAAATCTCATAATCCCCACTTACTAAGCAACACGTGTGAACACACGTGTGTGGGAAAATAAAGCTAAACCAAAACATTAAAGAGTTATACGATTTGTTAAGTGACTCACGACTCTTTTACAACTTAAAATGACAGAACAAAGATGAAAAATATAAGCTGCGTGTAAGCTGCGTGTCTTCATGCATCAACCAAAACTCAATCCATAATCTGTAGCATATCAACAAGTCAACACCCCCCCCCCCCCCCCCCCTCAAGCGGGAATGTGACGGTTGACGTGCATTCCCAGCTTGAAGAGAAATCTTCGAAAATCAGGACCTCCAAGGGCTTTGGTAAACAAATCTGTCGGCTGCAAGGAAGAGGAGATATGCCTGGGAACAATGAAGCCTTCTTTAAACTGGTGTCTGACCACATGGCAATCAATATCTAGATGTTTCGTGCGCTCATGGAAGACTGGATTTGCTGTGATGTGGAGAGCCGCTCGATTATCACACCAAAGAGTAATTGGAGTAGAAACAGATAGATTGAGATCTTTAGCTAAGTAGGACAACCATTGCAACTCACTGACTGTAGTGGCCATAGATCTGTACTCAGCTTCAGCTGAAGAACGAGAAACAGTCTTCTGCTTTTTTGTTTTCCACGAAATTAATAAATTCCCCAAGAAAACACAGTAGCCAGTCAAAGATTTCCTTGTAGCTGTGCAGCTTCCCCAATCAGCATCACAAAATGCTTCAAATGTAGTTGAAGGCAGGGCTGCATAGTATAGACCAAGAGTAGGACTTCCTTTCAAATATTTAACCAGGTGAACTGCTGCATTCCAATGAGCTTGTGAATGAGCTTGTACAAATTGACTGAGCTGCTGAATGGCATAAGAAATGTCTGCTCTAGACAAATTCAAGTAGAGAAGTCTACCAATGAGTCTCCTGTAGGTCTCTGGTTTATCATACAAAGTTGGTTCCAAGGAAGATAGGTTAATGCCAGCAGGTAAAGGAGTGATAGAGTCTTTTGAGTTCTCCAGACCCAAGTCATGAACCATGTCAAGAATATACTTCCTTTGACTGAGGTAAGTGCCTTCATTTGTTCTGAAAATCTCCAAGCCAAGAAAGTATTTTGCCTGCCCCAAGTCCTTGATGGTGAATAGATCATCAAGATATTGTTTAAGATGTTGTATGTCCTGCGAGCATGTGTCTGTAATCAACACATCATCTACATAGATGAGCAAAGCAAGGACTCCAGTTTTTGAATGTTTAAAGAACAAGCAGTGGTCATGTGATGATTGCTGAAAGCCAAAAGAAATGAGCTTGTCTGAAAACTCTATATTCCACTGCCTACTAGCTTGTTTCAATCCATATAGGCTTCTTTTGAGCATACATACTTCTCCTGCCTTTGCTTTATCATATCCTTTTGGTGGCTTCATATAAACCTCCTCCTCCAAATAACCATGAAGGAAAGCATTGTTAATATCAATGTGATGTAGTTCCCACTTGTTCTAAGTAGCAAGGGTTATAAGTAATCTAACAGATACAAGTTTTGCAACAGGAGAGAAACTGTCTACAAAGTCAATGCCTTCTCTTTGTAGATATCCCTTTGCCACAACCGGGCTTTGAATTTGTCAATGCTTCCATCAGGGTGTCCCTTGATTTTATACACCCATTTAGACCCTATTGCCCTCTTGCCATGTGGCAGTGTGGTCAAAATCCAAGTCTGGCTTGATTCTAGGGCTTGTAACTCCTTATGCATGGCTTGCACCCATCTCTGATCCTTGATAGCCTGTTCATAAAATGTAGGTTCTGAAGTGGTCTGACCTACCACAGAGAAGAAGGTGTTTATCTCATTATCCTGAGGCAGCTCAGTGACATAATCAGTCATCCAACTTGGTGGTTTCCTTATTCTGTTGCTTTGTCTCTGTGGTTGAGTGTTTGGTGGTGTGGTAGTAGGTGTTGCAATAACTGGTGTGGCAGTAGGTGCAACTGGTTCTTCAGTGTCATCATGAATAACTGGCAAAGGTATGTTATGGGACTGCACAACATTATGTGTTTGCAGTTGAGAAAAAGGAAATTTATCCTCATAGAAAATAACATCTCTGGTGATGGAAATCTCCTTAGTTTGAATGTTATAAACCCTGTATCCCTTTGTGCCTGACACATATCCCAAGAATACATAAGCTATTGTTCTTTCATCAAACTTCCTTCTGTGTGGATCAAGCTTATTTGCATAGCACAAGCACCCAAAGACTCTGAACATCCCATAAGTTGGTGTAACCCCATGTAGCAATTCAAATGGACATTTCCAACCAAGTCTTTCACTTGGCAAAGTATTAATGATCTGTACTGCAGCCATAAAACTATATGGCCAAAGAAATTTAGGCAGGTCAGCCTGAAATGAGAGTAATCTTGCCACTTCAAGTATGGATCTGTGTTTTCTTTCCACAACTCCATTTTGTTGTGGAGTATAAGGGCAAGTTCTCTGATGAAGCATACCATTTTCCCTCAGCAGGTTGTGCACTTCTCCATTAACAAATTCACTGCCATTATCAGTCCTTATTTGTTTGATATTCACATCAAACTGCACCTTAACCATCTTGATGAATGACCTTAGATGAGTAACTGTTTCAGATTTATACTTCATGAGGTATATCCAGGTGGCTCTAGTGAAATCATCCACAATTGTAAGCATATAAGAGACATTTAATAAAGATTCTTCATTGTGTGGACCCCAGACATCCCCATGAATAAGCTCAAACTTTCCTTTGGTGTGAATGCTGCTAGTGGGAAATGCCAGCCTTAGTTGCTTTGATCTGTGACATATGTCACATAAACCTAATTCCTCCTTAGAGCATGTACCTTTGACAAAAGGCAAATGTTTCAAGCAATGCACTGAACTGTGTCCAAGTCTTTTATGCCATAAAGACAGTTATTCATTGTTGTGTGTCTCTTCATCCACTGCATTAATATATATACTCCTTCTGAGTCTATGACATATAGTCCTCCTATAGCTTTACCAACTGCAATAACAAGTCTCTCATTTGTGTCTAGTAATTTGCATCCTGCATTTGTGAAACTGAAACACAACCCATTCTTTTCAACCAATTGACCCACAGAGAGGAGATTGTGGTTGAATTCTGGTATGAACAATACATCCTTGGGCACAATATGATTGTTAAATCTGACCTCACCCACCTGAGTTACCTTCATTTTGGAGCCATCTGGTAGATTTACCAGAATAGGAGCTAGGATCTCTGATTTGTTGCACATTAGGTCCTCATCACAACAAATGTGCTTACTTGCACCTGTATCAATAACCCAACTTCCCTTAGCAGCTTTGTTTATCATGGAGAAGGCATAATCTTCCTCATCTTTAGACAATTTGGCAAAGTTTGAGTAAGTGTGCAGCTCTGAGTTGTGTCTCTTGGACAGATACTTAGCCACTTCTTTCTCAATGATAGATCCAATGTCAGATGATGAGTCACTGTGCTGAGATCTTGTCTCTGAATCTACTTTAGTAGAGTCATCCTTTTCAGCCATGTTAACACTTTGGTGCTGTCTTTGCTCCTTTAGCTCCTTAAACCAATCTGGATAACCGTTTAATTTGAAACACCCTTGAATCTCATGTCCATTGTACCCACAGTGAGTACAGAAAAATTTGGCTCTCTCTTCCTTTGACAATCTAGGGCCCCCTCTACCTCTTGGCACATTGTTAAACTGTTGTCCAAAAGTGTTTCTCCATGCATTTCCTCTACCAAAGCCTTGTCCTCTCCCTATTCCTCTTCCAAAGTTTCCTTTCACCATCATGGCTGAGTTCTCAAACTGATTTATGACAGCATTAATTCCTTTTTGTTTTTCAATCTTCAAGATCATGGAGTATGCCTTGTTTACAGTTGGTAAGGGATCAAACAACAAAATCTGGTTTTTGACTGGCTCAAACACTTCATTCAACCCCTTGAGGAACTGCATAAGCTTAATTTCCATGTCCAACTCATTGAAAGATTTCCCAGACCCACACTCACAATTAGGTACTGATATGAGGCAACTATATTCATCCCAAAGACATTTTAATTTTGTGTAATATTCAGTAACAGATAGCGAGCCTTGTGCAAAAGTAGCAATTTCCTTTTGTAATTTGTACCTTAAAGGCCCGTTGGACTCTCCATATCTCTCTGCTAACTCGTCCCAAAGCTGCTTGGCATTTTTGACATACATGAAAGCTCCTACTATATACTTTGAAATGGAATTAAGTAGCCATGAGATTACCATGAATTCCACTTTCTGGTACTGTTCATGTTCTTCAGATCCTAGATCTAGAATTTGTAGCGTCCCGTTGATGAAGCCAAGTTTTGACTTCGCGCCTAGAGCAAGCTTCATCGCTCTGCTCCAATGGAGATAGTTCGCACCGGGTAATGGATTTGTGATGAGAATTAACCTAGGATGATCAGATCCGTGCAGGGCGAGGGGATCTGTGTCACGAGCGTAGATTCCTCTTCCTGCCAGCTCGCGATTATGCTCGTTGTTATGATGCGCCATTCTTTAATCTGCTCTGGATACCATGTAGATTTGGTTGTAAGATAAAAGAAAATGGAAACAATCGAGAGTGTTCTGTTGGAAAAATCAAATCGCCATTGATAATTGAGCTTCAAGCTCTTAAGGTTACAGAAAAGAGTTCACTGCCCTTAAACGTACTTAACATGCAAAATCCCATAATCCCCACTTACTAAGCAACACGTGTGAACACACGTGTGTAGGAAAATAAAGCTAAACCAAAACATTAAAGTGCTATACGATTTGTTAAGTGACTCACGACTCTTTTACAACTTAAAATGACAGAACAAAGATGAAAAATATAAGCTGCATGTAAGCTGCGTGTCTTCATGCATCAACCAAAACTCAATCCATAATCTGTAGCATATCAACAAGTCAACACATACAAATTTTATGTTCTTTTGAACAAGCTAATTTTATATCGTTTATAATAAACTGATATGTCGTAAATTATATGACATGTTAACCCCACATCGTTAATTATAATTATTATGTAATATCGTTTACCCTTATCTTTAATTTATAATATCTTTCTTGCTCTTTTAAGATAAGATCAATAGTGGTTCTCCACTTCTTTCATTGGGTGACTCGAACTCGATACTTATTTATAATTATTATTTAATATTATTTACCCATGCATCGCACGGGATACGCACTAATTTTTTTTATTAAATAATGAAAAACGCTGACGACGCCGTCGCGTAATCGGACTTTAGTATCTCCCATATATTTAATTCAAATATCCACAATTACCAGGTAATTATGATCAAGACTTGGGCCGTCAAAGAAATGGAAACTATAAAATTTTGGCTTAGCCCAGTCTGTGATAATTCACGCTTTGGGCCAGTAGGCTCGTTCAGTTGTAAATATATTATTTTTTATTATTTAAGACATAATTTTTTGTTTATGTTTTGTTTATGAATGGTTTTTGTATGATTTTGTATCAATTATTACAAAAATAAAAATATAGGAAATTTAGTTTACATGTAAAAGATAAAATTTTAATTGTATTTCTATTTGTAATAAGTGGAATTGAATATAATAATGTTATTTCAGTAAAATAAAAAACATTTATTATTAAGAAAATTTAGCGAGAGAATTAATAATTATTTTAATATAAAATAAGGTATATATAGAATAATAATTAATTGTGATATGATGGGAAAATTTATTTTTAGATTAATAATTAATTGCAAAATGTAAGTGATTTGTAAAAAAAAAAAAAATGAAACTGTTGAATAGTGTCTTTTTAAATTGGTGGATTAGTAAATGAGTTGGGATACTATTTCTTACCAAATATTCAATGCTTTAAATAGATGAAGAGGGTGGTTATTAATTCTGGAAGAGTTTTAAGTTACATAAAAACAATTGTGTTGGTTCATATTTAGTGAACTAATCGCCCAAAAAATCGATCCTGTCTTCATCAGGTTTTCAACGTTGTATCGATAAACATGTGAAAATGTGTGCGATTCAATAGTAAAAAAAAAAAAAAACTCACATCGCCATTGGAATCGAATGTACCATGACCACAATTACTTCATTTATTCATATTTTAAGTTTTTACATGTATTTGAAGCTATAACTAAAATATATGAAATCATAGAGAAAATTTGAATAAACAACTAGCAAGAGCATGTGAATTAAGAGCATCTCTCCTTATGTTTGACATCCTCAAGGGGAAATTCTATTGTAGAGCTTTACTTTTCCTAGGGCAAATTTTGAATAATTAATTGTGTATTAATTGGATTAAGACACTAACTACATAATGCAAAATTTGAATAATATGAAGGTATGAACTTTATATTAAGTAAAAAATCTTTAATGTGTTGCATCACTGAGACTGCATTTGTAAAAGTTCAATGAAGGTTTAATATTAATCTTCACTTGGCTTTTAATATGGAACTAAAAAAAAAAACTAAAATTAACTAAAACTAATTCATAAATCGAAATAAAAATACTAAATGGAGAATCTAAAAGCTAAATATGGAGATTTTTTGTCTAAGATAAATTACATATTCATATTTCTTAAAATTATGTGCAACATTACATGAGAGCCAAAAATATTTAGATTCCTTTTATAATTTTTCATAATATTAAAATGTAGCAACATGCTAATCAATCATTTCCCCACAAGACAATAATAATCAACTGGAACTCTCTTAATCTTCAACTCAGAAAACACACAGCTATTTTGATCAGAAATCCCAATGGAAAAGTTGGAAACAAAAAGGTACAGGTTCAGAAGACAATGGGGAGCTAGCTCGATAGGTCACCTCCCGGACTAAACCTGACCCGATTTTTTTCCAGGCCACCCATTTCCACCGGCCCACAGAATTCAGGTGGGCCCAACTCAAAAATGGACTAGTCGAGATGGATCAATGAGCTGGGCCCCACCTTCTGCTTCCCCTTGGACAACAAACTGGCCCACGCTTAAGATCCAAATAGTCTGCCGGTCAAATGCACAAAAGGTTCACTCTTTTTCAGTCCTACAAAACTCGATTATGCACCATATTATGTCTCTCACCAGTATCACCAAAACCCTGACTTGCAAAACAGTCGAGCTCGCCTCTTGTTCTTTATCCAAAAAGCAGATTTGTATCAAAGAATTAAACAAGGAGGAGCATGAGCCAAACTCAACCTTAAAGCTGTACACAGATTTTTCTCTACAAGGAGTGAGATTCTGATGGGACTTTGTGTGATTTGACTACGTCTGCAGATCTGTTGTGTCACGCAAAAGGGATCTAAAGTTTTTACCGGTTGATGACTTCCATTGCAGACCGAAGAAGGCATAACAATCCCTCGACGTCTTGGAAGCTAAAATCAAGGGCCCTTTTAAATGAATCGATACACTCTTTATCAGAGATTTCAACGTGTTTTGCAGTAGCGGCCGCAAATGCAATTCTTGATCTCCTTGAGGCTTCCATTGCAAAGTTAACATCTTGTGCCTGCAAACAAGGCAACACTAGAGTGTGTGAAAAAATTTATTCATGACAGATGCAAGTTACTGCAAACTTCTACTGAATAAATGTAATTGGAGTCAAATTGCAATACATTGAGATTTGAGAATTATCCAGTATAGTCAAGAGAGAAGGAAAATGAAGAAATCCATCTCTTTTTGCAATTACAAACATCTCTTTCACTCTTTTTTGTATTTTAAAGTAATTATAGGATATTAGGCATGAGCAATACATGCAATGGAAAAGGGATATTTTCTAATCTTGAATGATAATAGGTTTATTATTTCTAAACATGAAGGCTTAACTTTAACGGTAGTTTCTGTAATGGCAAAAATGCATTTCTAGTCTGGTTTAACGTCACAACAATTTTAGTCCTAGGTTCAAACTTTTCGCATTTTAGTCAGTGTTTTAATATTTTGTTGCAATTTCAGTTCTCAAATGACAGAAATTGCAACAAAACTTTAAATTACATGACTAAAATTGCAACAAAATTATAAACTACATGACTGATATTGCTAATCGAAAATCTTGGAATTTGGTAATTTGTTGCAATTTCAGGACTGAAATTGCATCAAAATATTAAATCAGAGGACCAAAAGGCGAAATGTTGGAACTTTGAGACTAACAGGACTAAAAATGCAATTTTATGCAATTTTGCCTTTCTGGAATCATTCCGTATTTTGATGTATATTTAATGACATACTTACAAATTTTAGAATACGCAAGAACCCAGAACGATTTTGTGCAGTGAGGATATGGCTTCCAGAAGCTTGAGCAGAACCAACAACTTTAGCCAGGGTAGCCTTGTCAGTAGTTGCTTGGTGGTTCAAGTTGTCAACGTCAGAGGCAGAAGAAGAAGGAGATTCACCTAAAATAGTAGTCATTAACAGTAATTAGAACAATCAAAGTTGGCGAAAGTTGAAAAATGGAATTTGCCAAGCAAAATTATTTTGAAAGCAACCCCCAAAACTAATATAACTAGTTAGATCCGAATTCATTTAAATGCCGTATAACTTTATTGTAAAATAATAGTTTTCTAGTGATTTAATAATCAAATATCAAGACATTTCAAGAGTTTGACTAAAACAAAATTATGTGTTATATTTCCATCACAACTTTACTAGAGAACAAAACAAGAAACAATAGCAACTATATTATATTGTGGTAAAGCATGTCATATACTTAAGAGAAAAATATGTAGGTTTAGCACAATACCAAAAAGAAAAAAAATACGCAAGTACACTAAGCCTTAGGTGTGGCGTACGTAATTAAACCTACACAATTATTTATTGCATTTAAATTTACCAGGGGGAGCAATTTGCAGAGCTGTTTGCAACTCATTTCGATCCTTGCTTGCACTGTTGTGTGACGAATAAACGACACGCAAGTAAGCAACCTCCATACATTTATAGGCCAAAGCAGCAGCAGCCATGTCGTTCAACTTTTCATATTCACGGGCACAAAACCTATATAATGGAAAAATAGAAAAACTAAACGCTGAAGCAAACAGAAAGCCTATCCAGTAATAACATTTCCATGTAAAGACTAATAATCCCAACTATTTTGGAAAATTAACTTAAAAAGATTTCAGATGATAACGCCAGAAAATGTTATGATACTACCATCCCAACCATGGTATAAAATTTAGCAAATTTGTACAAATTAGTTAAACATACAACGACTACTTCAAAAAGAGTAAAAAAGAAAATTATGGAGTTAGCTCCACTCAAGAAGCCACTTACTCGCAAAGTTTGGCAGTGCTACTATATACATGCATTGAATGCATTAAGTCATTTTGCTCTGTTGCTTCACTGCTTCCAGTTTCCAGCAAAAAGGCTCCATGGAGAAACTTGAGAGAAGCTTGGAAGTACAATCCTATACTTTCAGTAGATCCAGAATTCTAGAGAGAGAGAGAGAGAGAGAGAGAGAGAGAGAGAGAGAGACCATTTAATGA